TAAAAACACTGATCTATTGGAGTACAAGTTGGAGGTCTAGAGAAATTCCCATTGTAAAACATAATGAGGGAATGAGACCTCGCCAGTTGGCGCTGCCAGATTTAGGCTTGAAGGTTTATAACAAGTCTGCATTGTTAACTTGGCAATAAAAGCCCAACGTGAAGCTTGTGTGACAGAAAAAGGGCTCACGTAGCATGTTGCTCCAGTGCTAATGATTTTGTGACATACTGCATTGTTGAAATTTGCTCAGTAGTTGTCATAGTAGCTTTTTGCTGGTGTTTGGAGCCAAAAAACAAACTGAGACATGACAAAAGAGATGTGATGAAACAGGAGCACAGAGCAGCAAAGCGACGGCAGTGAGAAGGAGTACAATAATGAATAGAATAAGGTCGGGATGCCCCAGAGATGGACGACCCCAGCAGGCATCCATTCATCCCCTCCCCATTCAGCCTCTGCTGTTATTCTTCAGGGTCAGTGGCTGTCGCTGAAAGAAAAATACTGGCAGGCTGACCAGTCAAGCATGAGCGGCACTGACCTACAATTTGACTGTCATCATTACCTAATGCTGCGAATGCAGTGAGGAGGGGGGAGGGAGGGCGAGGCAGCCAGAGAGAGGCACAGCTCTGCTGTGAACAGATTACACGGTTTTACAGCACGTTTGGACCACTGAAGAAAAGAAATAATTAACATGAACAATAATGAATGAGGTTAAAGCCTTCTACAACTCATAAGAAAAGTGAGTAGAACACCACCAACACTTCTTTTCATTCATGTGAGTAAAGCAGACAACAAATTTGTTTTCATCAGAACGACTCATCCTTCCAGCACGGGTTTCTATATGTAGCTAGCTGTGTAATTCACTAAACTGCAGCACTTTCACACAGACATCTGCTATTGTCCATTTTTACTTACATTTCTTTTCAACTTAACCTTGAAAAGTGAATCGATATCTTTCCGTTATGGAGTTCTTTTCTTGGAGACAGTTTTTTCTTGGACACCTGCCAGTTCTAGAAATTACTTCATTTTTTTGGACATTTGACAGTTTTTCTAGTTTTGTTATTGGTTGTTTGGGGAGAGATACATTTTTTCTAAAACTGTGCCCTTTTTCTCAGAAATTAGTGTGTTTTTCTTACAGTGTGACCCTGTTGTGTTGTTTCTCAGCTGGAGAATGGCTGCCTCCTTGGAGCTGCAAGCACGGCGTACGTCAGGACGTGTCTGATGTCCAATGGGAACGCAGTGGCCACAGGCGACATCCCAGTCCCATGCCCAGATGAACTTCCTGCCCTTCAGGACTCCTAGAAATCTGGATTTTTCCTCTGAGAAGGTAGAACAGAAAAGAGAAGAGGAAAAACGGACTGTGTCTGCATTTGACAATCATGATTTTATAAGGATGCAAACTAAAAAGACTTCAGATCAGCTTCTCTTTAATAGCATTTGTTTCATCTCACCTGTGCTGCTCAGAAAACCTCAGATCTCCTCTGGTAGAGGAAGAGGACGAGCTCTCTCTGAAAGTGTCCACATCTGGTTCAAACATGTGGTCCTGACGATCTGACCGCAACTGGGTTTTTGCTGTCAAGCCAAAACTCATCACTTTGTGGCCGGTGTGTAAACAGTTAATCGAACAGAAAATAAGTGGAAGACGCAATTACACTCAATTACTGCACTTTTTTTATCTTTATTATCTCTCTTTGGTGCTCAAAATAAGAAACAAAAAGGCCGGTTTTAGTGGCACATAATGTGAAAACTGAACTATTCAAGTACTGCCGGCTATTTTTTTTAACTGTATGCACACCCAGCTGTTGGTTTAGGTTCAGCCTGAAATGATCTTCAAGTTTAAAAGACTTTAACTCTCAAACCCCTGAGCTGTTTTTCCTGATTAAAATGACTTGGGGGGTTTATTAATTACACTCATTTCAGTTCATTTTTTTATGTTAAGAACTCTGTTATAATATGTCGGAGCTTCAGTTACACTAATTAGAGATGCTTTAGAAGCATAACAGCTAATTATACACACACGTTTATAGTTGTAATAATTTACTGTACCCATTAACCTAACTTCCATTAACTTGAGTGTGATAGAATCTATCCTGCTTGTTCCTATGAAAACCTTTTTGATCACCACTTTATATTCATGCAAATATCTTGAAAAATATAGAAATTAATACAAATATTCAAGTAATAAAATAAATACAGGCAAACACTTTGAGCATGAGCTTTGAGAAGTGATCGCTATGGTAGTTGAGAAGGACCAAAACTTACACGCTGAGCATTAATAAAAATAAAATATCACATATGCTGCATCAAGCAACAGCAATCAGTCAGCGAATCTTTATTTGTATAGCATCTTTCATGCAGCTCAGTGCAGTTTAATGTACTTGATTGATGAATGACGAGATGGTAATAAGACATTAGCTTGCAATGTTAGCCAATTTTAAAATAAAATAAAAAGGCAGCAGATGAAGTAAAACAGAAATTTTAAATGGTCTTTGGACATGATGAAAGTAAAACAGATGAAATAATAAATAAAGATATATAAAATAAGGTCAGATAAAATACAATAAAAAGCAAAAAATAAATAGAATAAAATGTTTATTAATGAAAAAGGTCTAAGGAGTAAGTAAAATTAAAATAATTTAATTCAGTAACAATCCTGAAGAACTTTTTATCAATGATTTGCAGATTGCATGTAATTGACAACTTAACCCCATTCAGTTGCAGACTGATTGCAGACTGTCTTATTGCAACAAAGTTGCTTTTAAGTCAGTGTATTTTGTGGAGAGACACTCTCATGACTGAATAATGGTTTTCAAAACAGAGAAGATCAGATCAAATCAGAGCATCAAATTCGAACATAGAACAAATCATGCTTTCCATTATCTTTGCCACACTAGTGAATAATTCCTGTCAAAACTATGAAACTTTGTAGGAAAATAGGCTGATGAATCCAGGAAACATTTTTGTGGTGTTGGGTAACGTGAAGGTTAAAGTCTTTAAATCCTCTGAGAGCTAATTCACCACAACTGATGATGATGTGTTGACCAAAAAAAACCCAAAAAACAAATCTCCTGTAAAGCCTTGAGTCTGCAGCTCGACTTAAACTGCATTTTCTCAGCAAACTCAAACCAACAGCTGCCTTTAAAGTAGGAAACATTTTAGCTTAAAGCTCATGGTGTGGTGTGCTTAGAAAATTGGTCACAAGAAGTCATCTGAAACATTTAAAACCACTGGTGAAGACTTTAATCATATACAATCTGCAGTATATTTTAATGCAAACATTTTGAGCCATTCATTTATGGAAAACGCTGTGACGTCAGATCAGAGAAACAAACAGATTATTTAAACATCAGTGTTCGTTTTGTCACCTAGATGTAGATCAACTGTGGGGTTAGTAGTTTTTTTTTCCCCTGGTGCTACATATTGGGAAAATAAGCATTTCTTTCCTATTGATGTTGTTTTAAATTAGATTTTTTTTTGTGTTTTAAAATATGTTGAGAAAGGTTAAGAGGAACCCCGACTATTTCAGCTTATTGGCCTTAATGTCCTCTGCTGATCAAGCAAATCCTAAATGTTTCAGGTATATTTTGACCTACGAAAGCTGCCATTAGTTTACATGTGCAATGCATTCAGCTCAAAATTACACAAAGGATGAACTACTGTGATATCATTTACGGTGCTTTGGTCCAAATAAAGTTGATTCAATTTAATGGCACCAAATCTCAACAGCAGTTGCCTCAAGGTGCTTTATATTGTAAGGTAGAGACCCTACAATAATACACAGAAAACTCAACAGTCAGACGAGCCTCTATGAGCAAGCACTTGATGACAGTGGGAAGGAAAAACTCCCTTTTAGCAGGAAGAAATGTCCAGCAGAGTCGGGCTCAGCCATGATCAGTAAGGGGAGAGGGGTTTAGACACATGGACGTGATATAAGAAACGTAGAGGATTATTACAGTGGTCATCTTCATGTTGTACAGCTCGAGTACAGCCGACCAGAAAAAGTGTCTGTCTTGCTGTAGGGACTGCGATCCAGCTGTTCTGAAGGCAGTTTACGTCAAAGCTTACAGCCCACTGCGTTCATGTCATGTCAGATTAACTGGAACTGAAGAAGTTATTAAAGTGATAGTAATCAATATGTCTGCATGATCAGAGGGTTAAACTGGGGCTGTATGTGTTTTATGTTAAACAACACACAGTAATAAAAAAACAAAATGTTCTTGCATCACAAAAATATTGTTATTGGAAATTGTGACAGCCCTAGTTTAAATCCAGAAACTTCACAGACAGTAGCATTTTTTTTTTTACCGTTCCTCTCATCCCTGTTTGCAAAATTTGCAAAGCATGAATTTTGAAGTGTGATTTCAAATCATGAAGCAAAAGGAAAATGAAAACTAAAGCCAAAGTTTTTGTCTCACACGATATAAAGTGTCTGTGAAACCATCAGGATTTTTGGTTGGTGCCTCAGCGTTTTATCACAGGGCTGATATTAGCTGGTATCAGTATTTAAGACAACCTGTAAATGAAAATTAAATAAGAAACACCCTTCAACCATGCTATGAGTGTTAAGCTTGCACAGTTTGTCCACTAGAGGGCACTCTGCAACATTCTTGTTTGTAATTCAAGTTCGGAAGACCCTAAAACTGAATTTTTACATCTACAAAACTGATTTTGGCTGTTTGAAAAATGGCCTGAACTTAAAATAAGTCTATTTTAAGTTTAGGCCAATTAAAACATACTTTAAAAAAAGATTTTTGTGTGGTGGTAGGACAAAACACCCTTGGTGGGCACTCAATATGGACAATGCACAATACAAATATTGCAGCATAGCTAAAAACTTATTTTTATCTGTAACAGTGTAAGAATAAAAACCTCAATTCAGTTGTAAGAAATGTAATTGTGACATGCCAATTTCATGCTTCTGATACGAGGGTAAAATTAACTCATTCACTGCCATTGACGTCTATAGCCGTCAATTGCAGTGAATGAGTCAATGGGTTTAACTCATTCACTGCCAATGGCTGGCAGTGAATGAGTTAATACACAATTAATACAAGCTATGATTATGTTTTAGTACTCTGCATGTGAGTAGCTGTTGTATTATAATGTAAAGAAGTCACAAAAAACTCTTGGGTAGAGCCTAACACTCACTATTTGATGATGAAATTAACCCAAGTGGACTCTACAGGAATCACGAGCACGTAAAGTGTAGCGCCTGACTTAAACATTGCTTTCCCAGATTTGTAAAATTAAAATATAAATGTACTGAATCGGTGAAATGTTAAAAACAACAAGATAAATACAATCAATAAAAAAATTGTCCTGGAGTCACTCACCTGTTTCAGCTGCCCTAGTTTCCTTTCAGCTCAGTGTGAGAGTCTTTGCCGCTGTTAATCAGCACCTCTATAGTTTCTCCTTTCTTCACTCACTCACTGTGAGTGAACCTCCTCACCCACGCAGTGGAGTACAACGTTAACACGTTATGTTACTGTAAGTGTAATAAAAGCTTCCCCAGAAATGTTAAATCAAGCATAAAGTGGAGGAGGCAACAAGGAAAGCTTTCCTGTCGTGTTGACTCACGTCGACGAAAGTTTGTCATGAAATAAAATGTGGAAAAGTTGTGGAAAAAATGAATCTTTGACCTCATAAACACAACGTACGAATGCAACTGAAATATATAAAATAAAAGGTTTATTTGCTTCATTGAGGAGTGTGCTTGGTATAAACTGAATGTATACTAATCACATAAATTTCTTTTGAGTAGATTCCATTGAATTGAACATTTTACGTCGTATTATTTAACAAAATTACAGAACCTTTACTTAAAGTCAGCATTTTGCTGTTTGTTTTCTCCATGCAGTTTTAGCATTCTTTGTGCAGCTTTTTAAATCAAGATCAGTCTACATATTTAATTATGTATAATTATAAAACCTTTAGACATCAGTTGAACTGGTTTTGGCTTCACTTGAGGCTGTGGACTTCCTTTGGCTGCTCACTAACTAGCTGAAAGGCATTGTTGCACCTTAAGAGAGCCGTTTCAAGACACACTGACAGGTTTTGTCTCGGTGCGTATAATGTGGCAGGGCACAACATCATTATTTTAGCTTTGTGTTTTGACATATATTAGCTCAGCGGTGACATGACATGAACGGAGATATTAAGAGCAGCTGGAGGGCAGACGGGACAGCATTTAGCATTTAGCACTGACTCAGAAACCAAAAGAGGCGCTCTGTTGCTGAATGTCTCGTGTGAATCACGAAGCTTTGAACTCGCCACAGAAAGTTGCTTAGAAGCGATTTTTTGCTCACGTCAGCCGACGACAATCGAAACGCATTTATAGATTTTCCTCTTTGTTTTTGTTTTTTTCCTTTTCTTACTGACTTTTTCTTACGATCAGATTTTTCTTAAAGCAGATCATTTAAAATCAGTAGTCAGATCACACACTGACACGCTGTATGGAAGAAAAAAAAACTTTATGAGATCTCAAGGCTATTTACAACCTGAAAAACTAATTGTGTGTGTGTATAAGATGTGTTTATAATGGTGTTGTTCAATCACTGCTTTGTAATCACAGCTCTGACAAGCTCTTGCACTGAAAGTAGTTTTTAAGAAAAGCATTTTATGATTCCTTGTCATATGAATATTGTCCCTAAGAGTCTCAGTGTGTTTTATCTATATGTCATGTTTGAAGACACGTTAGCTCAAAGCAGTATGGTGCCATAACGATGAGCAAAGACCTGCTCTGCTCTCAGCATTTGGAGACTTTAAAATCACTCGTTTCACTTGCTAAAACCCACTTTGTCCACAGATTTAATCTTTCTTTTTTAAAAATCTGAGTTTAAATTAAACCAAACTCTCCCTGTGCTGTTTTTTAATGCACGCAGACTTTATTTTGTTGTTTGTTTGTTTTTTTTAAATCACTGGAAGTTGTAGTTGTGCGTTAACATGTGTTTAAAAAACAAAAAAATGCAGTCTGCCATGTGTTGAAATGTGCTCTTGGATCCTTGAAATAAAGGATTTTGTGTAATCACACTGTAGCGGGGCCTCCTTTGTCGTGTTGTTTATGCTATTTGATTGGTTGTGCTAACTGCTGTCTTTTGCCCACCGGGTGTCAGTGTAGTCCCCAATTCTGATGTCCTCAGATTTTTAAAAGACAGTGTACAAATAGCCACTCCAGATGCATGACATCATTAAAGGAAAGTCGGGTAAGAAGTAAAGAAGAGTTAAGGATTTAAAAAGCACCATAACGCCCACTAAGAGTCCATGTTATATCAGAATTAATAATCAGCTGCCGACATATCCCAGCGCAGCACTGCCACCATGTGTCAGGACTCAAAACATCCAAGATAGTCAAAATTATCTATGGAATATTTGAAGTGACTTTGAACGCAGCATGGTTTTTGATGCCAGACTGGCTGATGTGAATTTTCACAAGCTGCCAATCTACCGAAGAGCACCTCGGCAGCAGCAGAAGACCACACCAGGTGCAACTTCTGCCAACTTTGT